CACGCTCAGTGGCCTTGGATTGAGCAGTGCAAGTAGACAGCAAAATAGCAGGGCTATTCTGTGCCTGCTTCTATGCCAGTATCACACTGTTTTGATTCCCATGGGTTTGTAAGAGAATTTTTATTTTCATCAAGCAGAATTTACTAATTCTGTTGCATTTTTTTTTTTTTTTTTTTTTTTGTGGTACCGGGGATTGAACTCAGGACCTCGCACTTGCCAGGCAAGCACTTATTCTACTGAGTCATCTCTCCAGCCCCTTGTTGCAATAATTGCTATATTTTCATGCTTTGAATATATATCAAAAGAATATTTTTATGAATGATGCTAACAGCATAAAATCTCAGAAGAACAAAATACATAATTCACAAGCAAAAGGTTTTGCCTACTCAGCTCACAAGCTCTCACTCACTGATGAGAGCTACGTTGCTTTTACACAGTGCTTCTCTTGCGGATCTCTTCACGCTCAGTGGCCTTGGATTGAGCAGTGCAAGTAGACAGCAAAGCTGCAGTATTTAGCAGGTACATTTAACATGCTTCAGAATCCTTCCCAGGAACCCTGACCAGGACATGAATCCTTGAAGATTTTCTTCTACCAAACAATGCTGATCAATTTAGTTATTACATTTTCAAAATATTAAGTATTTATTATCAACAAAAGGAAAGCATGTCGTAGAGCTGTTTTTTGAGTTGGGGTTTTGGAATAGGGTCCCCAGAAAACCTTGCCGACTCTTAAAACAGCCTTCTTCACACATAAAATACCTAACATGGAGACTTGTACTAAGAAGGAAATGGGGTATGCAGGGATGTTTTGTGCAAAATGTGGTACAAATGCCCTTCTGTCCATATTTCTCAGAGCAGCCATCTCTGTGTATTAACAGAACTTTTGGATTTGGGGTTTTAGATGAAGGACTGAGGCAGGCAGGCATCTGTACTTACGGGCTTGGATTAAGACATAAAAGGGATATGAACACACAGATTTCTAGGTTTGCTGTTATCTTTCTTGGAGCATGGCGACAGTTTTGGAACATAAGGCTACTTTAAAGGTTTCTCTTTTGTGTGGGCTCAGCCTGGGATTAGGAGAAAAAGGGACCCGTGGTCCCTGAGAAGCAGTTTGTCCACACCTGGCTCCCTGGGAAGCAAAGTGACTTCCAAAGGTGTTTGCTCAGGACCTTGGCACCTGGGGCCAGCCCATGAAATGCTAGTCTGGCCATTGGTGGCTGGTGTTTCAAGTCTCCTTGTGGGTTTTCTTAGATCTAAAAATGGAAAACATTTTGATTTCAAAAAGAAGTTCATCTCTGCAAGCAGAGAGATGTCTCTTTTTCTTGAACCCACGTGTTCCAGAAGACCTGGTTACACAGTTTGAACCCAACAGCCAAGGCTTATGGACCCAGTGGAGGCCCACAGGAGCTCAGGAAAACCAGGCAGCTTCTCCCAGCCCAGAGCAGAGAAAGTTGTGTAAACATCTAGGCTGACCAGGGCTGCCGGAACTGGTCAGACCAGGTGTTTGTGTCTGCCTTCCCTGTGGTGCACAACACTGCCTTTCTGCTCAGTGTGGTTTGGGGACCATTCCAGAAAGTCATTCTACCCTGCAAAGGTTGTTTTCAATTGCAGCACTTAAAGGTAATCAGGAACTGCAGTTCAACCAAAGCATTGGTTTCAGCCAGGATGGCAGCTGCCCTCGCTTAGCTTCTGAGCAATTGAACACCTAGTTAAACTCACTTTCTGAGAACAGGCATAACACCCTGAATCTAGCTACCAAGCTGTTCCTTTCCTGGGACAGCTTCCCCTTAACATGTCTTCAAAGCACATATTGCGACCTTTAAATTTCAAGAGCCAGTTGCATGCCTATAATCCCAGCACTGGGAAAACTGAGGCATGAGGCCAACCTGAACTACATGGTAGCTGTTCCCTGTTTCAAAAATAATTAATTGCCAGTCTGCAGCTCCAGATGAGTTGTCATGGATGCAGACATTTGGTGTAATTGCTGAAGGATAACCCCAGGAAAAACCTTTGGATCTGAATGCATTGGTCACCCAGACTAGCAGAGGCTGCTCCTGATTGGGGTAGCGTAGCTGAGCTGCCCAAGCATGCGCAGTGTGCATGAGTCGCAGATGTGCATGTACAGGTGGGCTGTTACTTAGCAGCGTTGCCCAGTGTGGAGGTCTCCTTTTTTCCGGAGCATGTTAAAGCATTCTCCAGCCTGCAGCTTTTCTGTCCAGTCCCACTCTCCACCCTTCCCACACTTTGTGCTCTCAGGAGCACCTCCATGGGCACTGGTCACCGCCACCCCTCACTTCCCATGGGGAGATCACTGGCACAGGAAGATCTGAGGCCCAAGGAGCAGTGAGCTTGGAGTGTTTATCCCCCAGCTTCTGTAGATCACTTTGGTAATATGGATATTTCAAGCATATAAATAATTATAACAACTGTTGATACAAATATGAACTCTAAGGCTGGATATCGTAGCTCATCCCTGTAAACCCAGCATTTAGGAAGCTGAAGCAAGAGGATCACTGAGTTTGAGCCAACCCTGGGTTACAAAGTGAGTTCAAGGCCAACCTGAATTGTATAGTGAAACCTTATCTCAAAAAGTCAACAAAACAAAGCAAAACCTCTGAGACCCAGAACGCAGGCCAGGAGAGTGAGTGAGACTGATCAGGGCTGCGGGATCCTGAATAGACCCATAGCCCAGGCCCGGGGAGTGAGTGAGACAGAGGGCCCGTGGATCCTGAATAGACCCAGAGCACAGGCCCAGCAAGTGAGTGTGAGACGACCCGGGGCCCACGGATCTTCATTTGACCCTGAGTGCAGGCCCAGCGAGGAATCCTTCAGAACTCCCTGCAAAGAGACTAGAAGCAAGACCCACCCAGCTGATTCAGGAGCAGAACATCTTGCCAGAGTGACACAAAGGGTTCAACTCTAACGGTTGCAGCAGAAAGAAGTGGAGCACAGCAGCCAGATCCAAACAACACCCACCTGGAGGAATCTGAACTTCGTAGATCCGGACCTGGTGCTAAGGTAATAACT